TTGGTCCCTCTCCACAGAGCTCCTTGCTGCCACCAACTGACCCTGTTTCAGGTCTCCTCGTCACCCCCATACGAGCACAGCCTCCAGGCTCCTGGCTCTGGCCTCTCCTCCTCCAGGTCCCCTCGAGTCTGTCTAAAGGTGTAGGTGAGTGTGGGTGGTTCCTGATGGCAGCAGCTAACCTTTCTGAGCACCTGCTGCATGCCTAGTGCAAAGCAATCACATCCGCGGGTGCCTTGCAATGATCCTGCCAGGAAAGGACTGCTCTCTCCATTTCCCAAGACGTTCAGAGCACGCCACGGCAGGGTGATGGTGCTGAGACGGGGACCTATGCGAGGCCACCTGTGCACTGAGGTAGCCACGCAAAGAGTAAGAGTCCAGGAACCCTAGGGTGTACACCCTAGCAACTACCCTCTGGGGAAGTCCCCCTGGATGTCTGACTTCAATCAGTTCTGCCGCACCAACTTCCAGTTGCCGCCTGTTCTTCAGGGAGGGCAGTGAGAGGGGTGACTTCAGGGACTTTGAGAAGTGGGTCACATCACAGGGGACCTGGCCTTTCCCAGGGAGCAGGCAGCTGAACAATGGTAGATAAATGTGTGACAACATTCTTGTTACTAAAGATAGCGACTTCCCCAGAGGCTGGGGTGCTGACAGGGAGCCCTTGACGTGGCCCTCACCTTAGAGGCCACACATTGGGAGCTCAGACAAGCTGGGATGCTCAGAGTGGCTGAGGGCTGTTCCTGATGCCCCATGGGCCTGGGCAGAGAGGGCGGAGGCCAGCATGGTAGTGGGCGACATTCTGTTCCCCAGCCAAAGCTGCCCCGGTCAAGCTGGCTTATTTGCATGTTATTTTGCATATATTTACATACCACTTTCTAAAAAAAGGGCCCACTTTCTTCAGCCGCTGCCTCTCCCTCATTTCCGGAGTCTCTGTTTGACCCTTGTGGACCCCATTTTAAGCCATGAGGGACCTGTTTTCTGTGTTGGGTGGGGGTACTGGGAGAGATCAAGAAGTTGCAAGTTTATAATGAGAATCTAGATGCCCACACACCTCAGAGGCAGAAAGTGCTGCCTATACTCTAACCTCAATTCCCTTGCTTCTCTCCTGTTCCAGCCCAGCCCAGCCCCTCTGAGCTCCTCCAGCTGTTGCATACACGGAGCCAAGCCTGCTCTCTCCTGAGGGTCTTCTCGGACCACAAGCCCTCTTCCTGGAGCTGCCCCTCCATTCTGCCCTGTGAACAGTTACACTCCCAAAGCCAGCCCCAATGGTCCCACCTCCTAAATTCCTTTCCCTGACCGCTGGGCTTCCTGCAGGGCTGCCTCGCCCCCACCCATGGGTGCACACTAGTCTCCCTCTCCTTAGATGACTTCACTCATCGTCAGGAGAGTCAGTGGGGGATACTATCTCTGCTCCAACTCCCTCCTCCTGCTCCTCAGAGCCTCTTCTCATCCAGCCAGGAGATACTGGCAGGAAGTTCTTCCTGATGTCTATCTTCAGTCCCTGTTCTGACCACGCTTGTTTCTTCAGGGTCTAGATAGAAGATTCAGTCTCACCATCTGTAATTGACTTAGAGGCTGCTCATTGCCTTCCACTCTGTCCAGAACATCTACATTCCACTCCTGGACCTTGCTTAGATCGGAGGGTGGTGACCCAGGGTGGAGAAAGGGCATTCAGCAGGGCCCTATGGCCTGGGGTCACCAGGTCCTCCAGGGAGGCCCAGGGCAGATATAACCAACACTGGGAGGGCTGCCCAGGAGGGAGGGGAATGTGCAAGTGGAGCCGGGGTGGGTGGGTGAAGGGGCACTTCTAGAAGATGGCCCAGATGTTCTTAATGTCCTCTCTCACTGAGAGGCTGCTGGGAGCCCAGGTGCCCAGCCTGTGCTGGGAGTGGGGCATGGAAACCAAAGGAAGGGGTGCAAACTTTGAGGGAATCCTTGACTGGGTGGTCAAGTCTGAGCCATATTCTTGCTCCTGGTTCAATGCTGAAGG